TGAGAGGAATCAAGGCCTGCTCAACCATCCTTTATGAATGTTGTTTAGTACAGTGTCTTTGTGGTAGACAGTGTTATTTGATTAAACTAACCCCATTTCCATTCTCCCCTTCCCATGTTTCTATGTGGTATAGAGACTGGAAAAGCTAAATACCCTCTTCCCCAGCTTCCTTTTCAGCTACATGTAGTCATGTGATCCTGTTCTGTCCAATGAGACTAGACCAGAGATCTGTTGGGAAATTCTGGGAAGGAATATGCTTTTCTGGATACCAGGAACAAGTACAGCTATACCAACACTCTCCACTTTCCACCTTTTTTCTTTTCTAACATAAAAGTAATGCCTGGAACTGGAGCAGCTATCTGGCAACCATGAGGGAAAGGCCATGATGGTAGTTCATGTAGAGTTAAGTAGCTACAGTAATGTCAGTGGCCACTCACATACAATTTGTTTGTTACATGGGAAAAATAGACCCCATGTTTGGAGGTTGCATTATTCTTACTTTCTATCAAAAGCATACTAGATATTTACAGTGATTCAAAAATAAGTTTAACTGAAAACGAATTAACTGGAATTTCAACCATTATCATAGCTAGTACAGGAATCTGAAAATTTCCCTCCTGTCACTGAAATCACAGACTTTTGAGTGGAATGATGAAAAATGGATGGAGTCTTTGATGGTTCTTCTTCCAAGGACCTCAGAAAGTGATACTCCTTAGCATTTCACTCCTAGCTTCTTTAGAACCCATACTTGGCTCTTCTGTCTCCAACACATCCTTAACTGTGAGCCTACATCCCTGAACCTTTCTGAAAAATTTTAGTCCCTGATGAAGGGGGACAGACTCTATCTTTTACCTACTTTTATAGGTGTTCAGTACATGCCCACTAAACCAGTAAGGGAAGCTTGTTATATTTAAAAGTTGAGGATAGCAGTGTGCTGTGTTTTTAAGAATAAAAATGAGGAAAGGCCCAATCTATGGAGCACATATGGGATAGAGCATGCTCAATGAAGCATGCACATTTTGGATTAAGAAATATGATTATCATTTGCCAGTTCTGATTTCTGCCTCTGGGCTGATAAGATGTGTCCAAAAACTTATTTTCATTCATTCTCAGATACCAAAACAGAAGGGGTCTTTAATGAAATGCAGGAGCTGAACTGACAGTTATTAGTGCTAGAAATAGGCAAGTGTTTGCAAAGTCAAGTTGAAACGCTTTAATAAAAAAGACCTTCATGCCTGAGGCATACTCTGCCTTCTTTGCTAAAGTTGTGGTGGATTGTTTTTAAAGTAATGACAACATAGCTTGTATATTCTTAAAATTTTTAAATCTTCCACGAAGGAAATATTGGAGTAGCTAGATAAATTAGTTCATTGGATAATTAATTTTTAGAAACAAAACTGATATTGGCCCTTTGTCATGTTTATTAGCAGAGATGAGCAGGCATGGGACTGGTCAAGAAAGAGCAGTGTCAGGGCCACGTGGGCTCATATTTTGATTTGGCTTCTGATGCCATTTGTCCAAAATGATTTCTCAAAATATCAAAACCCCCTCTTCCTGCCCAGCACCCTCCCCACACCTTGTACCTCTCAGCCAGGGGAGCATTCTTCATGGATCCACCTGGAAGATGGGCAACAAGGGGAATGGGAACTCCAAGGTCTGATTACTTTACTCACAGGCATAAATTTACATTTGTCAAGTCATTCGAGTCTCTTGTATTTTAGAACAAAGAATGTTGTTTAACAACCAAAGCTGTTGCTGTAGAAATGAGGGAAGTGACATGCTGAGAGTTTAGGTAACATGTCCAAGGTCAACACAGCAAGTCAGTGAAACTAAGGCCAGCATTTCTCTCAGGCCTCAGACTTACTGTCCCGCAGTCCTTCTGAGGCTTTAGTTTTGAAAAGAGAGGATTGCTTCTCTTCATTCTCTCTTATACTCCATGGCTATTTCAATGAACTATTTCTACCATCTCATAATATTCCTCTTTTTCAGAGAAAACCCACCCTGCAGTATAACGATTTCCATTTTCTCCTGCTGTTTAGAAAATGTTTTACCTGCACGTTAGTTAGCGTGGAGCATGAATCTCCTTGGAGAAGGGCTTCCTGGTTGCTGTGACCCATCCAGGCAGAACCAGCGGAGCTGGCCAAGTGGTTTCTCTGCATCACTTGGCTGTCAGATAAAGGCCACCTGCTAACTGATTGGCACAGTGAAACTTGGGTCCAACAAGCTTCACAGTGACACAGAACTTTTATGAAAGGATGCCAGGGAATTGATGTTGCTCTTCCTCAGGAACAAAAGGTGTCAGAAGTTAGATAGACCTGAACAATCAAGAAAATATACGTATATATGCCTTCCCATCTCTCCGTTTCAAGCCCAGAAGATGTGATCTTCCAGTATAAGATAAATCCAACTAAACCCTTGGGACAAAGAGAGAGAATGCTGAGCTCATCAGTCATTGGGCCAAAATCAATTCTGAGATGGCTGATAAACTGATTATCTGGATCAATTTCTCTTTTTCCTGCTCTACCCCCTTAGGACTGAACTAAACTTTCCCTTCAATACAAACAGTATTAAGTGTCTGTATCTGAAAAGCATGTTGGCAGGCACTGGTTAAGGATAAAAAGATAAATCTTATATTTGATAGACAGAGCTTGAGTATTAATTAGAGTCGGGAAGACTTGGGTAAGGATCCTGGCTTTGCCATTTGCTAGCTTTGTGTCTTTGAACAAATCCCTTAAACTTTCTGAGCCTCAATTTCAACATGTTGTATCAGTCAGCTGTAGCCACAATTTTGCTTCATAGAAAACCACCCCAAATTCAGTGGCATATAACAATAAACATTTACTTCTTCCTCATGAGCCTGCAGGGCAGCTGAGGTTTGATTGATTTAGTCAAGGATGGGTCTCTTCTGCTCCACATGTCTCTCACCTTCCTTGGAAAAAACAACTATCTGCTACAGAAGGACAAGAGAAAAGGGTGACCCTAACCATGCAGGTATCTTGAAAGTCTCTATTCATATCATGTTCAATAGTATTCCATTAGCTAGGCAAGTCACATGACCAAACCAAATAGTCACAAAGCAGACTCTGCCCTCTATGAGAATTTAGGTGTATATTAATATATGGAGGAATCCAAAATTGAGGCCTAATGAAACATTCTTCTATTCCTCTGATGTTGTAAACTATTGCTAGAATGTAACCCCTTTCTGGTCAGTTAAGGGGATTGTCCTTTTGATCCAATTGTGACCTCTGATGAGTGTAACACCTCTCTGAACATTGTAGGCCAAGATAAGAAGTTAGGTATTGGGTGACCACTTTGTAGTTTGCATAGGTGTTGAATTACAATGTTATACACCTAAAACTTATCCTATATAATAAAAGCCCAGCAACTGAACAGTGGAGTAACCAGAATGACCGGTTAACCAGTTGCTATGATACACACTGACCACCAGGGGACAGATGCTCAATGCAGGAGCTGCCTCTGGTGGTCAGTGCACTACCATAATGGGAGCACCATTCAGCTGACTGGGATGAGTGGCTGCTCCTGCTGTGAACCTGAGCCAATGGGCAGAAACCCGGGCTGCAATTTTCACCTCCTCCCCCAAGGCTCCACCTCCTTGCTCCCTGCCATATCCTCTGGATGCCCATAGGCTGCACAGCACTGCCACCAGCCCCTGGAGGCTGAGAGGTGGGTTCGTGACCGCCACAGGACTGAGGCCTACTCCCCCATCTCTCAGTGCTATTGTCCCAGCCCTGACGCTCCCCTGGAGTGGTGAATTCTCTGGCTCCACTGAAGTTGCTGGACCAGGGAGCAGCCCCTCAAAGGGTGGGTCCACAGCTGCTCGGCTGACTGGGATGAGCGGGGCTCCCACAGCGGACCAATCCCACAGGGCATGCCCCCCACTAGTGCATGAATTCCATGTACCACACCTCTAGTATCAATATAATAATAATAATAATAAAGATTCAATGGTGTGATAAAGCAACTACACAGAGCAGAGGTAAGAGAATCGTGGAGACTTCTTCTGCACAGCTAATCTTTAACTGCAGCTCACATCAGCAGAGAATGGAAATCATTATCATCTAATGACGTCAGCGTTCTAACCAAATTGAAACACTGGCTTCCCTCCAATTCCCCATGATTTTCAGGCCATTTCCTAAAAAGCAGCAATGTAACTCCTATTGGGTTTCAGATAGCACAATAGATCAAAGCATGGATTGATTTGAAAATGTCCATTTTTCTAGGAATTACTCTCCTTGACTATCAGTAGTACTCAAGCTATTCTAAATCATCGGCCTGTATGTGGAGGACAGAAGGTGGGGCACTAGTTGAAACTATGAACATGAATGTAAATGACAGTCCTTTTCCTGTCATTTAATAGGATGCAGGTCTTCAGAGAATGACCATTTTTCCTTGCATGACATATCCATCCACTGCCTTAGACAGTGGTTGCCAACCTTTCAGACCTCACAGACCCCCAAGTGGTCCGCAGACCACCGGTTGGCAACCACTGGCCTAAGATGTCAGTAGCTTCAGATTCCCTCTCACTAGTAGTACCTCTCAGGAAAACCCAAAAATATCTACGGGAGAATGGTCTCCCTGCTGGGAAACTTATCAAGTGGCAGAGAAATCCAGGGGTTGGAAGCCTGAGCTCTGGGATCTATGGCTGGGTTCAAACGAAGATCCACAACTGGTTAGCAGTGAGCTGGGGCCGGTTGTTTAATCTCTATGGTAGTCGGATATTACTCACAGAGGTCAGTTTGTGAGTCTTCCTAGCACCTGGAAGACTCCTTTGCATTTGGGTAGTGCTGTGTAACTAACTAGTTCTGGCCAAAAAATTGTGAGTAAATGAGTTCTGTGTAACTTCTGTATGTATTGACTGCCATTTTCTGATACCTATTGTTTGTATCCGCATTCCCAAAAAATTTGACTATTTATAAAGATGTTGTTTACTATTACTTTGTGGGAGACAATAACACTTCTTTTCTTTAACCTCTTTTCAGATTGAAGACATCATTACAAAGATGCAAGATGACAAGACAGGGGGCGTGCCCATCAGAACAGTCAAGAGCTTTCTCTCCAAAATCCCCAGTGTTGTCACAGGTAAACATTCTTCTTATAAGGTTTTGGTGGCAACAGGGAAAGGCTGAAGAGTTATGTAACCTTGATATTGACCTGAGGACGGGGGCGTCTAAGAATTTGTGAATAGTAAAGATGGTACCTTCAACATGCTTCTTACGGTTGAGGGTAGTCCTAGTTTCTAGGAAGAGGTTACTGTTTGCTGTTAATTAAGAATGATTTTACCATGCCTGACCAGCCCTTCTGTGTATAAATTAAGGATTCCGGGGAATAACAAGTGCATTAATAAACAGGCTAGCCCATCAGCAATCTGGCCTACAGGATGTAGACAAGCACAAAAATGTTAAGGAACTTACTTTAGTTTCAAACAAGCTTTAAGAAAGTCTTATGTTCAGATTCTACAAAATGCCTTTAAGTTTTTTAACTTATTGCACTCAAACCCCTAAAAGAAATGGTCTTAAAAATGTTTTTCTGTGTTATTTTTGGGGGTGCAGTTGTATGTTTTGTGTGCTCATTCACCAATAAAAAGAAGTGAACTGCTGATACATATGCCAACTTGGATGAATCTCAAAGTAATTTTTCTGAATGAAAGAAGCCAGTCTCAAAAGGTTAGATACTATATGATTCCAAATGAAAGAAGCCAATCTCAAAAGGTTAGATATTATATGATTCCATTTATATGACATTTCAAAAACTATAGTGCTGGAGAACAGATCCATGGTTACCAGGGATTGGGAATTATGGGAAGAATGTGCTACAAAGAGAAAGTGCAAGGGAATTTTAGGAGGCAATGAAACTGTACTGTATCCTGCTTGTGGCAATGGGCTGCTAACATGAATCAGCAAGAGAAATTGAGGAGTACATGCTTCCACTCATTTGTACCTTCTTCCATCTCTTTTTTCAATGTCCTGTAGTTTTCTGAGTATAGATCTTTTACCTTCTTGGTTAAATTTATTCCTAGGTATCTTAATTTTGTTGTTGTTGTTGCAGTGGTAAATGGGATTGTCTCTTTAGTTTCTCTTTCTGAGAGTTCATTATTAGTGTATAAAAATGCTGTTAATTTCTGGATATTAATCTTGTATCCTGCTACTTTGCCAGATTCATTTGTTAAATCTAGTAGTTTGGGGTGGAGTTTTTAGGATTTTCTATAGGGGAATAAATTAACCAAAGAACCTGTATTGGTATATGCACTACCCATGGACACAGACATTAGGATGATGAAGGCCTAGGGTTGAGTAGGAACTGGGTAAAGGGGAGCAATGGGTGAAAAAAAGGGATGGGGAACATCTGTAATACTCTCAACAATAAATATTTTTTAATATTAAAAAAGAAATGGAGGAGTAGCTGGAGACAAGGAGAAAAATCAGGAGGATATGGTTTCTTGGAAGCCAAATTTTCAAGAAAGTGATTCAAGGAAGAGTGGAATTGATCTATTATACTATGTAAAAAAATCAACTAAGATTAGGACTGAGAATCGATAACTGAATTTAGCAACATCAAAATTGATTGCTGGCCTTGATAAGTGCACATTCCATGAAACATTGAGGGTAGAAAGCCTCATTGGAGTTGGTTCAATTCAGAATGGGAAGAGAGCAATTTGAAGAAGTGAGTGTAATTAATCTTTGAAGGAATTTTTCTTTAAAGGAAGACATGCAGTAGTATCTAAATGGGTAAATGGGGTCAGGACTTGCAGGATTTCAAATAATGTGAAAGTGGAAATATGTTTATAATAATGAGAATGGCTCACTCCAAAGGGAAAGGTGGTACAAGAGAAACGGAAAATTCAAAAAGTGATATCAGCAAGTAGGTAAGAGCTTGAATGTAATGCATAGATAGGTGGGAAGACTTGCCTAGGAAGATGTACAATTTATTCACAGAAAAAGAAGGGACTCATTATAGATGCACAGAGGTACAGGTACGCATAGAAATGTGGTGGGAGCTCTTAGAAATTTTCTTCTAATTGTTCCTATTTTCTTAGTAATATGGGAAGCAAAGAAAGTAAGTTACTGAAGGTCTGGGGAGAAATTAGAAGCTATAAAATAGTCATCTAGGAAAGAAAAGAGATTAATTAGCTAAGGAAATAGAGTTTTGTGTGGTAGGTAGCATTAAGGATTCTCTTGAGATTATTAACATTTATGAATTTAAAGAGAGACTATTCTTTCTCCAGCCACTTTAGCTCCCCAGATGTGGGCACCTATTAGGTAGAAAGTTGGACTTAATTAGGGCTATCTCAATTATAAGAGTGTGATAAATCAAGAAAGAGACAAGAGAAGAACCAAAAGGATTGACCATTAAATTTTAACTGAATAATGAGATAGGTAAGGAACAGTGAAGAGTGGTAATTACAATAAATTTTAAGTCCAGTGGCAAAGGAGTTTTGGAGTAGGAAGTGAGAGTAAGAGAGCTAAAAATATAGAAGGTGGCAATTGGAAAGTTAATATCTAGTGTTGTATTAGTGGTGACAATGGGTAAAGTCTGATCAAGGGAATACATGACTAAGGTAGGATGAAAGATAAGATCTGTGGAAGAGAGGAAGACAAGGAGCTAAGTAGCCATGATTTTGGTAGATTGAGCTATCTGGATTTTGGAATCACTACTAGGAGAGTGTTAGAGTGGTTGTGGATCTGTGGTTAAAATCTTTATAGAATGAGAGGCAGAGGCCCAGGGATCAATAAATGACTTTCACAACAAGAGGTCTAGGTCATTTAATATGATGTCATGGGAGTCAAACCTGAGTGGTTGATTTTTTTTTTTTAAAGAAGAGGGAGGGAATGAAGGCAGTCTGAAAAAAGAAACATAAACCATAGGATCACTTGCCTGCTCTCAAACCCCTTTATGTATAAGGCATGGGAGGCAAAACAGCTACCATCTAAGAGGGCTTCAGGGAAGCATGGCCACTGGGGAAGAACAAGAAGATAAAAGGAATATTGACTGAAAAGTTGAGGATATAATTTTTTTTTTTAACTTATGATTGACCATTAGTTCCAGAGATCAAGTAAAAGCATTCCAGAAAATGGTGAGTGTATTACCTGGGGAATAAATGTCCACAGTTGCTAGGTACCAGGCACTAGAATAGTCACAGCAGATATAAAGGTGAATGGAAACCTGATCTCTACTTTCAAAAGCTATTAAGTTAGTGAGAAAAACACACACTGGTAGAACAATAATTATATGAGCTGGGTGCTATAATTGAAGAATATACAAAGCCCAGAGGACAGAATTGTGATTTTCTTGAGTAGTTCTAGAACATTACTCTGAGGATATATATCAATATCTTGCAAAACCAACCACCACAAACCATAATGAATCTTTATTTCTCATGATCATGATTCCATGAATTGGCAATCCAGGCATTTCTTCTGCTGGTCTCATCAATGAGGCTCTACTCATCTGATAGTTCAGTTGATGCCACAGGGTAGGTCTCACTCATTTGTTTAGCAGCAATGCTTAGTCTTAGCTGGGGCTTCAATTCTTCTCCATATCACCTTGTACCCCCAGTAGGTTTAACTGGACTTCTTCACAGCCCGACAGTCTCAGAGTGCCAAGAGGGAGAAGACAAAAACTATAAGGCTTCTTAAAGCCGAGGTTCCATAACTCATACAATGTCAAGTCTACTATAGTCTATTCTTTAAATTAGGGGTGTCGAACTCAATCAGAGAAGGGGCCAAAATCTAAAATCCAGCCTAAATCGCGGGCCGAATGGTTTACTGAACAGTCATAAACTGTCATTGTGATGGAAACGCAGCGGAGTGCAGTGATGACAGCGCGGTGCGGGCCACATTGCAATGCCTGGCGGGACGGATTTGGCCCGTGGGCCTTGTGTTTGACACATGTGCTTTAAATGCAAATCCCAAGACTATCCTTGACTGAAGAGGGGGGAGAAACCTACTCCACCTACTAGTGTAGGAATAGCAATGTTAGGTTGACCTGGGGAGGCATGATTCATTGGAAGACATTATTATAATTATCCACCACATTAATAATTTTAGAACTAGGCCTTAAACATGAATATAAAAATAGAAAAGGGAAGGTAATTGCGAGTGGAGAAAAAAAATTTTTTTTTGCATAGTCCCAAATGCATGAAAAGTATACCCAGTTTCAGTCAAAATGATTTTGTTTATAGAGTTGGAATTTAAGACACATTTATGGAGGGTTGATATTATTAACATTTATGAATTTAAGGAAAGGCTATTCTTTCTCCAGCCTTTAGGGAATCTTTAGATGAGGGAGTCTAAGCAAGTATTAAAGAGAGCTGTTTCAACAACAATCACAGCACCAACTGAAACCATAATTCTAGAGCTACACCTCATTTAATCTTCACAAAAATCCTATAAGATAGGAACTATTATTATCATCACCATTTTGTAATTGAGGAAACTACAAATTCAAGAGCCTAAATTATCTTTTCAAGGTCACACAAGTAGTCAAAATTATACCTTTTATCTTTTTGTCAGATTGGCAAAAGGTATAGCATATATTTTGGTGTGCCACGTAATTTTAGTAATTAATTTACCTGCACCATGAAATGAAAATGGTTGAAAATCACTATGGTAGACATATCCTGGGCCTAGTGCCTGCCAACTCCAGGAAACCAGCCAGGTTGCATGGCCTTTCCCATCTGTAATAGACAGTTATTTAAGGATAATTCTCCATCACCTGAATGTCATGAGGAATTTTCCAGGGACTTTGAAGATTAGTTTTTTCCAGGCTACGCTCAGAAACATAAATCCCAAGCATATAAGAGCCACAAGATACATCCAGTCTCACTATTCTTGCAGAAACACGATATAATGTGCTCAAAAACCACACAACTTGTTAGGGACAAAACCAAGATAGAATGTGGAGTCTTCACTACCATTGCAATGCTGTTAATTTCATTAACTCATGCAAAAGACTACAGACTCCTGAATTGGAATAGTTCCTTATAGGCGTCTGATGCCTTCCCACTGAGCATGACAATAGCTTGTGTAGTTTGTTAAAAATACACATCCCAGGGCATCCCCATGGACCTGGACTCCGGATCT